TAAAAAGTCAGCCGACTTTAATGACCCAACACGTGCTTTACAAATGCTTTAAGTTTCTACTACTTATATATTATATTTTATAAGATGCATAAATATTGCAAGAAAACTGACACATTGTTCAATTTGCTGGTTTTTATGACTCCTACCAGCTGTCAATTTTCAAACTCTGGCTACCGGAAAAGCCGCCCCATGAAATGCAGCTCAGTGTTCGCGCACACCGAATGCCCACACACTGCTCATTAGTATGCAAATAAAAGGCTAAAGATTGATTTTTAAAAAAGTGCAAATGCCTATGCCAAATGGTATGCGCCTATGATATTCTCTATGATGAGTTCTATATACATAGATATAAAATTGAGTATTGGGTTTAAATTGAAAATTATTTTAATAAAATTCAATGTGAACATAAGTCTAATATATAATTTTTGCCAATGTCTGAAACATTATTAGAATGAATAAAAAATGCTTAATAACATTATTGAAGAAAGAGGGTAACATAATCAATGATATTCAAGCATGTATCTATTAGTTTTCTTTCTCAATTCAAATACCCTGCATTTGCGAGTACAGGGTAGGCAATTGCAGTTCCAGGTGCGGTCATGTCGGTTCGATTGTCAGTCAGAACTGGGGCCGAACTTAATTTACAATCGGGCGCGCGCAAAAAAAAAAAAAATAAGAAGAAAGAAAACGACATTTATTCATTTGGAGCAAACACCTGCAAGTCGCCGTCCCACCTGCCTGTGTGGTGCAGTGTGTGGTTGCATATTGAAATGCAGCAGCGTGTATGATTTTTGATTTATGATCTGTCACAAAAATAGCCCAGTTGGTACACCCTACTCTAGGTGCGGCGGCAAAAATAAGGCAAAAATGCGTGCAATGCAAAAATGCGAAATCTACTGAAAGCCACTGAGGAAGAATGGCAGTAAAAGATATTTACGATGCCCATAGCGCGTCCAAGCCAAAGTTATGCATAAAACTTTCTATAGAACTCAAGTTGAGGCTCTGGGAGTATTATACTATATATATATATATATTTTTTTTTTTGCCCCGGTGTCTGGTGGCTGTTGCCTTCTGCCTTCTGCCTGCTATCTTAACACGATCAAAGCCAGCCACAACAACAGAAGCAATCAATTTTCGTTGTTGTGATAGCCGCGGGTAGTCAGACAGCACCGGATCCCAGCACAGCATATCCCATGCCCGGGCATATCCAAAGCTGCAGGCGATGCGGCTGCTTAATAAATATGATAATGCCAGTGGACGAGTCCAGGCCGGGCCGCTAACCAAAACAGGCTGCTCTACTAATTAATGTAACAACTACATGGGCAGTCGTAACTGAGCCACAGACTAGTTCTCAGTCACTACAAGTGTCCTACAGTTGATTCTGTTTATGCATTTTGGTATTTCACGCTCTGCGGCTCTGTGCCTTAACCCTAATAATAATAAATAGTGTCAGGATTAATTGAATCGTTCGCACTTTGCAAGTTTGCGCCGTTTCCCTAACGTGTCACACATGCTGCGACAAATGATATATTGCCGTTTCTCAACTTTGCAATTTATTATAAATTTATTTATGCCAAGCCACAATCCTCTACCCTCCCCTGCGTAGCATTGCCAATGCCAGTGCCAGCAACCACCTAACGACTTGGCACCAGCCACCATTTTATAGTTCATTAATGTGGCAACTCTGGCATGATTTACGCACAAATGTCTTTGCAGCAAAACAAATAAAATAAAAGCAAAAATAAATAACATAAGTTGGAGAGTAGACGTATTATGTGAGACGCAAAAACAGATTGTTATCCATGTTTCTTTGCTTAGGAAAAAATAAAAATAATCGACTATGATATATAAACCTTAATAAATTTCTAAAAGATATCCAAAATATGCATATATATATACAATTAATAATATATAACCATACAATTAATAAACAATGTATTTATTTATTTGATACATTGCATCTATGTCTATTGTGAGACGCAAAGAAATATTAATATCAGTTTGTTTAAGAAATGATATATAAAAATCTATTATCATATCTATAACGACAAGAATCTCTTAGCAAAATAATATAACATATAAAAAAATGATCAAATATCAATATTTATATAATAATTATTACATTATATCAATTAATACAAAATGTAAGACATAAACATACACCTTTGATATTAATAAAATAAATCATTTTTTTTAAATATATTTCTTTATTAATAAGAATTGAAATCTAAAAAATTATGTTAAGAAACTCTTTTGAACAAAAATTAAATTAATTGTAGAAGCTTCTTTTTTAACAGAACTCTGACCAATTAGAGCTTTTGCAGGCTCCAAAAATGTGTGTAAATTTATGACATAAGGCATTAAATTGGCAAAGGGGAATGCTTAGTCAAGAGTTGATCGTACAGCAGGCACCATAATTCATATGTCACGTGTTACCGTTAAGCTTAAAATGCGCTTAAAACAACGTAACGTAAGCCCACAGAAGAAAAAGAAAAAGAAGTAAGGTAAGGCATTTAAAACAAAGTGCGTCAAGTGTGAGTTAACCCCGTCCTGGCAAAACGAGGCACTCAGCGCGTTGCCTGCTCAGCTGATTGCTGCAGCGAATTGTTGAGTGATATGGAAGTGAAATCCGCTGCAGCAGAGACCAGCCACAGCTGGTAGCCATCCAGTGAGTCAGTTAGGGGGAATGGGGCATGCAGAATTGAGCATCAGGGTATCGGGGCATCGGGGTTGCATATGTGAAAATAATCGCAAGCCTGCGCATAAATAATGGACTCAAATGTCAAAGGGGCATATCATCAATTTGTTTTTTTGGCGGCCTACCCCACAACAAAAATCCCCCAACACACACACACACATACGGATTTATATGCAAGCCTTCCTTTACCCATGCATATTTATTTTAAAAATAAAACTGAAAACTGAACAATGGACTGGCATTGAAGAAGTAGCCAGTTCCAGAGATTTTTTCCAAACAAATTCGCTGAGTGCTTAAGTGCTTCCGAAAGTGAAACAAATCTGTGACATGTGTTTCAGTTTCTCTGCACAAGCACACACTCTCTCTCTCTCTCATTCTTTCACTCATTCACTCTTTCTCACTCACTCTCTCTCCCTGTAGTAAATTTGCCTAAAGTGCCTCTGCTACGCCAGAAAAGCGGAAACTGCAGCTTCCAAAATTGTAACTGAAATGAAAAGAAAAATGTGCCTGCAGTTCCCCCGCGTGCTACCAACCCCCATACACCTTAAACAACTTTGTTGCATTTTAATTCGGGGTTTTCTTTCTCTTTCTTTATTTTTGTGTGCTTTTCTCGCGTCTTCTGCATTGCGTTTGCCTTTTTTAAGCGGATTTTGAACGCCGCTTCCGAAAAAATACCAAAATTGGCTAAGAAATATTGTCGCAGCCAGAGACAACACAACAGCTACAAAAGCTGTAGCCAGAGATGCGTAGGGTCCCAGCGGTGGAGAGTGGGTGAAGGGGATAACACACTCTCTGTGATTTTGGCTGGGCGCTTAATTTATGTGAGCTGCTTAGGGAGTGAATTCACAGAATGATATGTGAAGCGCCAACGAGTTGAATGATTGCGCGCGGAGGAAAATATTAACCAAACTAAAACTTTGTATAGAGATAGAAAGAGATGATGATTTGTGTATAATAAAAGTTAACTAGATAACACTCGTAAGTAATATCTGGAGGCTACCTCTTAAGTGTCCGCAACAGCCAACATTTGAAATAGGTAAAAAAAATCAACTTTCAGAATTCTCGACTAATATTTGTATACCGTTTTTTGATATTCATATCTCAAACAATTTAAATGTGTTTAAGAGATGAACCTAACGCTTTAAATGCTTAACATATAATTTCTGAATTATTTTTTGTTTTATTTTTCTTATACATTTCAAATTTCTATTTAGCTGAGCATCATAACATTATCACCTTAATCTTTAATAATTTCTAAATAAATTTTATAATAATTTGAATATCACGTATATTTATTGCCATAGCTTGTTCATAGAACCAAGTTCAAATAACGTTAAGCTTTATCACTGTCAATATATTTATTTAGCCTGCCATTAGACTGTAAATATATTATTTCAGCTGAGCTCTCTTGCTGTCCCTACCCTTGCCCACATTGTTCAGCGAGTCCTTAATACCAGCACAATGCCGCTATTCGAAAATCTTTAGAGACAACTAGTGGCAAAAAAAAAATGGGGGGCACATAAAAAAAAAGAGAAAAAAAGGCCAACACAAGGCAAACAAAAAGAAAAGTGGAAACTGCTGCAATAACAAACAAGGCCAAACATATACACTGAGCGCACAAAGTCCTGGCCATACAAATGAAGAGCGAGATGGCTTAATGCCACAAATTGAGCAATTCTTGGCATATGTATATCTATGCTGCCTGCTCCCTGCCTTATTTTCCTCTGTCCCTGTCTACTAATGCAGCTATTTGAAAACTAATGAGTGGCATGGAATAAAATGGGCAGCAGCAACAACAACAAACAAATGACACAAAAAAAAAAAGAAAAGCAGGCGGCAGTCAGAAATCCGCTTACAGCGATGAGTTGGCTGCAACGGAGCGAGTTGCGGCATGGACGAGCTACGCGGCTGATGACGAGCAGCAGCAGGAGCAGCACAGAGGACGGAGGAGCAGCAGGCGAGTGCAAATGAATGCGCATTTGAAATTAAGCCCTAATCCTTTTACAATTGATGCTGTGCAGTCAGCCAGATACCTGTGTGTGCCACACATGCGCGAGTGTGTGTGTGCGCGCTTGTTGTCCTTGCAAGGACAACACGGCAACTGACAAACCGATTGTTGTTCATATTGTTGTTGGTTGTTTTGGTCTAAAGCAATATGTTTGTCTTTGCCCGGGGGCTTAGCCGATGCAACGTGTACTGCCAACTAGGTGTGAGGGCATATGGAATTTCTATTTTTGTGTTCATGTCCTTGATGACCTACCGCGAGACTCAGCAAGGCACAAAAATAATAGACTCTAGCGGATTAAAGGGCATACTTTTTATTATCATAGGCATAATTTAAGTTTATCTTAGTTTGGGTCTTGGAATAGGCATCTTCAAAGTCTTTACTAAATCGAATACTGGTCAACTTTTAAATATGTTATTAAAATTATTTTTTAAATATTAACCAGGGCTGCAAGACAACATAATAAATTCTCAGTAGTTCGGTTCACGTTCCGAAGCGACTTTATCTAGGATTTTAATAAAGTTAATTAAATAATCCAATGTTCAATTAAGAGATGATTGTTCCACTGAAAATAGTGCATATTGTTCATATTCACATATAAAAAAGATTGAAAAAAAGATTGATCATTACCGAAGATTGGCATCCACCAGAGATGGTTAGATAAGTATACATACTTTCATTTCGGTTAACAATTCAGATGATTCGATTTGATATCGCTTTATAGTAAAAATTAAGCCGCAATTCGTGCTTTAACCAGTTTGTCCTAATCTCTACTAAAATTTCCCACTTCAAATACATTTAGTTAAAAATCGGAAGTAAAAAAAAAACAACAGTTTGACAAACACAGCACACGACTGGTTGATAACTCTCGAGTTATGGACTCAAGTCGCCCTACGTTATTTCTGTTGCTTTCCTATAAAGTTACCGGAGGGACAATTCATGAAGAGATTTTTGGCTTCATTAAGCTGGAGATGGCTGTTCTCCATTTGTCTAGTCTATTTAAACATATCAAATATAAGAAAAAATATTCAACATTTTATAAAATATATATTTTGGTAAGGGCATGGGCTGGGTAAAGCAATGGTTGGCGGGTCTGTCGGCCTGCTTTAGCGGGTTTCTTTTGGGCGCATACATTGGATGGTCGGGACCGATGGAAAAACCGATTCTTAACGGTGAAGCATACAGTTTTTCGCCGAGCATCGAGGATTGGAGTTGGGCCTGTGCGATGTTTACACTAGGTGCCGCCTGCATGTGCATACCCACGGGCATACTGGTTCGCGCATTTGGCAGGAAGCTGATCATGATGATCATGTTGATTCCAGGTCTACTTGGCTGGGGTCTGATCATTGAGGCACGGCACACGGCCATGCTGTACGCCGGACGCTTCATACTTGGTGTCTGCGCCGGTGGCTATTGCGTGGTTACGCCCATGTACACCACGGAGATTGCCGAAGTGAAAGTGCGCGGAATTATGGGCTGCTTCTTTCAGCTGATGCTCGTGCATGGCATTCTCTTTTCTTTCATTGTTGGCGCACTTCTCAAACCGCTGCCTGTCAACATTGTGATCGGCACACTGCCCATTATATGGTTTATATTCATCATTTGGTTGCCCGAATCGCCGGTGTATCTGGTGCAGGTGGGCAAGCCCGAACGAGCAATGAAGGTTTTGAAAAGCCTCCGTAAAACCGATGCTGACATAAGCAGCGAAATGGCCGCGTTCGAGGCGGGAAGCAAAAAGGAGATCATGGTCAAGGACGCGATGGTACGTAAGACCACCCTACGAGGACTGATCATAGCAGTGCTGCTGATGATGCTCCAACAATTCACGGGCATCAATGGAATCGTATTTTATGTGACGGGCATATTTGAAAAAGCCGGCACCGGCCTGTCCCCGTCCACTTGCACCATTATAACGGGCTGTGTGCAACTTGCTATGACATTTGTTGCCACTTTAATTATTGATCGAGTGGGACGCAAAGTTTTGCTGCTAATCTCTGCATTCCTGATGCTAATTGCCAACCTTACAATGGGCTTCTATTTTAAATATTTAACAGATAAAAATATTGGCTGGCTGTCGATCCTGGCGATTGCTGTATTCTTCATTGGATTTGCTTTGGGCTTCGGGCCCATCTGCTGGCTAGTTATGGCCGAGCTCTTTGCGGAGGATGTGAAACCCATTTGTGCGTCCATTGTCGGCACCAGTGGCTGGCTATTTGCATTTGTTGTGGCAAAGGTGTTTCCCATATTGGTGAAAGAGTTCGGCTCGGCTGTAGCATTTTGGGTATTTGCTTTCTTCTCCATAGTGGCATGTGTATTCATTATATTTTTTGTGCCAGAGACAAAGGGCAAGACTTTGGACGAAATTCAAGGATTGCTATCATAGATTATTTTATTAAAATCTTAAATATATATATATATATATATATATATATATATATATACTGGTCTTAAAATTGGAATCAGTTTAGAACTAAAAAACAACGATTATATATATTTTGATTGATTTGTTTTGCTAAGAATCAGCCAGAAATTTGGCTTTAACATAAACGGAACGCATCTATATATTCATTGACCATATTTTTATCTTATGTTTCAAATCGATGTTTATTTCGGATTTTCATCGCTTTTTATTACATATCTATTTATTTGTCTAACCATATATCAAGCAAACAAATCTGGCAACCCTGACATAGTTGCCACACATCCTCTGGCAACACATCCAACCCCCTACCCGCTAATATACAAAATTACATGTGCTATAGCTCTCGCTACACCTCATCAGTGTCCACAAAATCAAATGACGCACAGCTGCCCAGACAACGGAGTGGGCGGGGGCAGCAGCAACAACTAGTACTTAGTAGCAATTGAAAATCGAAAAGCGTTGCGAAATGGGAAAATGTGAATTTGTATTTTGTACAAAAGTTAACACATTGTACAAAATCAAATAAGAAATTCGTTACAGACAAACGCATGCAACGATCCGCAACGCGTTGCGACGCACTTAATTTCAAACAGGATTTACGAGGTTGACAGACATTCAACGTGCCACTGCAAGCGGCAAGCGGCAAGCGGTGGCAGGGCACACGAGTCTTAGTCTGTTGCTGTCCCGTTTTGTTTTCTTGTTGCCTTTGTCTGTTGCGCCTGCGCAGCGGAAACTGTGAAAACAGCCAAATCGCTTGTGACGAAACGAAATTTTCAACGCTCGACTGAACCGGAAAAGATGCAAAAGTGCTAATGAAATGTCCTTTGAGCTCAGCACAAGAAACCAAATCCAGGCCTGCTCCTGCTCAGGCAGCTGCCTGCCTGTTTAGGTTCTTATTTGCTTGTGTGGCATGGCGAATGGCTTAAGGAGAGCGGGCGAAAATTGCTCGCTCCATTGGTTTTTGTTGCATAGAGAGCGAGAGCGAAAGAGAGAGGGCAGAGTTAGCATGTCCATAATTTTGTTGCATGCAATGTGTGGCAATTTGTTGGCCCGGCCTTCCATTTCAAGTACAATCTCTGGCATTAATATTCAATTTTCTGAGTGTACTTAGTGCAGCTTAGATGCCATTCGACTGCATCTGCCCCAATTAGCTGCAATTGTTGCAATTCGCCACGGGCTCAAGTGCCAGGTTCAATCCAAATGCAGAAGCAACAGCAACAACAGCCAGCAGCATCTGCTTCATGTTGTGGCTATTAGCTCAATTATACGAATACTCAAATGTTGCAACAACTATTCATGCAACATGCTAAATTAGTTACATAAGTGCTGCGCTGCCCATCAGACTGCATATAAGAGTAAATCGCATGTGCAATTCTATCAGTTTTACAAATTATCTGTAGCCAAAAACCTCAGAAAATCTATAAGATAGGGGAAAGGGCTAAGAATAGCTACAAATGTATGTTTGGGTATATATATAAATATATATATTGGCTTTTTATTGGCGTATAGTTTTTTTAAATCGGCCACACAACCCTAAGAAATTTCAAAAACAAAATTTTAAATATAGTTAGTTTTGAATATAGCCGTTCATACGAAATATGTTTAACAATAGATTTTAGGTAGTAGATGTGGATGTATTAACAGTTTTTGACTTTATATAGAATTATTCAAGAGAATTCCACAGCATACATATAGAGAACTTTTTTTCACCTGACTAGGCAGACCAACAGCTGTGAAGGGTTCGCTCTGCAGTGCTACTGCAGTGGACGTGGCAGCTGGGGAATATCCTGGAAATGTGCTTTTGTTTTGTTTTGACAGGGCAGCTGGCTTGCACCTGAGAGAAACCGCAAGATGCGTAAACAACAGTTAGTTGTCTTTAATTGATAAACAAAAGCGCTGGAACAAGAGCTGGCACCAGCAGTAGAAGCCGTAGCAGCACAGCACGAGCCTGTCACATGACAGAGGGCGCACGCCAGGGACTAGGCGGACACTAAAGGCAATTTGACGCAGCTTGAAATTTGTTTTGGACCAAAATATTTGCAACGTATGAGCTGCAGATTGAATTTGTTGCATGCCGCGTGCGAAATGCATTTCCATGAAGTAGCTCAGACAAAAGGATGCACAGCAGCAGCAACAGCATCACCAGCAGCAACAGCTAAGGGGCTACCGAAACGGCAGCAGAAGCCTTGAAATTGCATTTTATGGCTGGACATTAAGAGGCAGCATGCAGTAGTCCAAGCTGATTGCAATGGCCTGCAGCAGCACTAGCAGCAGCCTCGAGCGTGCCAAATCGGCGGCCCAAGCAGTTGACATTTTCCAAGCTACTAACTAGGCATCACTGGCATCCCGTACACTCCTACGGCACTCTTGCCCCTTCTTGGCCCAGCGTGCGCATGCGTGGCTAATCGCGGTACGTGTGTCCAGTTGTGGTGCCAGGTATGCTGCACGCGCACAAAAGCGCCTTTAGTCACAGCAAATTATGTCAGGATGAGGGCAACTGTAACTGCCTTGAGCAAGGGCATTTAGTACACCCACCTGGTAGCCCATTATCCTGTAGCAACAAAAAGCGTGGCGAACACGCTTCCAGCTAGACAAATGTCACGTGTTTTATAAAACAGTCAAAAGTTTCACCCCACCCAGTGACTATTGTTAATCTGACTTTGCTAACGAGAGAGAGGGAGAGAGTTTTGGGGAAATGAAGTTGTATAGAAAAAAAACATGTTCGAGGCTCTAGTCGATACCCTGAACCCCCTTCTACCAACACCAAATGTAGCTTGCCGTACGAGCTCGTTTGCTTCAGCAGTAAAATATAAGTTACTTTCCACCTCAACAGCCTTTATTCTCTACCTAATGATCGACGTTCTCTACGGGGAGAGGCCCTGCGCTGTTATATGAGATACACCGGATTGGTCCAGAATAATCTCTATATATAAAGCTAATTGCCCTGACTGACTGACTGACTGACTCATTGACTGACTGATTGGAGGAGAAGAGCTGGGAAGCTGATATTTTCATTGTAGTTACCCTATGTGATGAAGGTGCACTTTAAGACGGTCTGTATGAAACTTTTTCACATTTCACATTTTCACACATTCGCAGAATCAAAGCATCCTCGGAAGAAATGCGATTCTAAGATTTTTGGACGCAGTTATAAGTGGTGTCCGATTTGCTTCAAACTTATTTTCAGAGGTCTACATTAGTACTAAATGAATACGTTTCTCAACAATTAGGGAAATTCCACCCGCAAAGTGGTAAATTAGCGGAAAATGTTTATTTGAAAGTTGGTTATTTGACTTGCAAGACTGGAAAGAATTTGTAAATTATAAAAAATTTACGTTAGCCTTATTTACTCACTTATTCATATCCGAACAAAGAGTCTGTAGCTAAAGCCACAGTTAAAATAGCTATTAAAATCGCACAC